TTTTTCTCCACATGTTCTCCACCTTGGTCTGTACCTAGATGTTTTGTTTTTATTGTGAATTGAGAGATAGTTTACATGGGAGAACATCAGTTTTACACTCATCCTAATTTATATTTTGTTTTATTGCAATGATTATAATCCCCTCCATGCATCATCATTCAACAGTATTTGCTTCTATTCCCTCTGGTTCTTTTTTTTTTTTTTTTTTACGTATACCAAAACACTCCAGAATATATAGTCATTTAAATAATCAACCAAAGGCCACAGTCTGCAAGCCTGCCTCCTGGCTGCCAGCACACAGCCTTTCTCTTTCCATGAGTCTAGAGTCTTCAGCTGCGCTGTCACTCTGTGTCCTCATCTCTGCCTCCATCTCTGGTGTCATTACTTCTCTGGATAGGGTCCCACATTCTGCTCATGCTCGTTCCCTTGATGGTCCTAGGGTCCTCTGTTCCTAGACTGTACGATTAACTACACCCCTTTTTTTGTTACAAAACTTTTACAATCGCAGTTAGTCAAGATAACATTTACTCACTATTGAATTATAAGAATCTTATCCCCATCTCCTTTCACCAGACCCGTCTAGAGAAGATAAAAACTGTTCAGTGGGGATTCTACCTTCCCCCGCATACTCTGAAACTAAACTCCCTCCTGAAAACTTGTAAGCCAGTCACTTTGTGCCTTTATAGCCCCCCATTTTAGGTAGCCAATGTCTAAGTTGCCTGTCCCCATCAACCCTATGTACAGAGGGGATGGGAATGATCCTTGCTGTGAAGAGTCCTTCCCTCTCATTTGGTATTTTAAGCAATGTCTTTTTAAATGACCACATCATGTAGTCTTCCATCATGATTGTGGTACGAAGCTATTTTGGGTCTTTATTGTGAATGCATCTTTAATTTATTTTTTGAACATCATATCAGAACTGTTCACCATGCTTTTGGCCGCATAGTTTTTCTTCTAAATGTCATATGTTTTATATTTGTGTGTGTGTGTGTTTAAATTAATTTTTATATATGGTATGAGGTTGAAGTTAAATTTGCTTCTTTCTCTCCTTTCCCTTCTTCTGTTTGTTTCATTTCTGGCATCACTAGTTGGAAGTGCTGCTCTTTTGTTCCTCTGTCCAAAATCAATTGGGCATATTCATGTTGGTTTATCTCTTGGATCTCTGTATGTGTCTGAATTTCTGGTATCTAGTGACTCTTAAAATGGGTAATGTGACTCCGCTATTTTTTTCGTAGGATTGATTTAGCCAGCCTATTCCCCTAGAGACATCATGCTTGGTAAAGTCGAGTCTATGAAAGAGAGGAAGACCCTCAATTATTTGAATTGTCATAGTGGCTACAACAATCAGCTCAAACGTAGCAACAGTTGTGAGGAGGGTGCAGGACAGGACTGGGCAGTATTCCCTACTGTTGTACACAGCGTTGAGTCAGTTCCAACCCATAGTAACCTTGTATAGGGTTTCCGAGGAGCAACTGGTGGGCTTGAACTGCTGACCTTGTGGTTCCCAGTCCAGTGCGGATTGTACAGCGCCACACCAGGAGCCCTACATTAAATCCTTTTTACAACTAAGGCAGTCTTTCTGAAGTACGCTGTGTAAACCTTTTGATGTGGAGGTTTTATAATTGTAGATTCTATTCTAGTTGAAGCTTTGAAATGTTGAAACAATTCATTTGGTTAAAGAAGAGAAGGTTTAGGGGAACTGTAATCATTGCAATGAAACGAAATAGGATAGGATTAATGTAAAGCTGATGCTCTCCCACGTAAACTATCACTCAATTCACAATAAAAACTTACTTAAAGAAAGCTTACTGCAGTATAAAATTTCAGAAAATGTACTACTTTTCAATGATGAAATATCAGTAATTTTTGTTTTTCTTGTTTTTAATAAAACGTGTTCCTTGTATAATAATAAAAACAAAAAAGAAGAAGAGAAGGTTGAGTCAATAAATCTGAAGCCTTTGAAATGTAAAAGTTGTTCACCTGGCTAAGTGGATGTGATGATGGCTTTAGACAGTTGTCCTGGTGCTTCAAGGAGTTCAGCTAGCCGGTTTAATAAGCCTGGTGTGGCGCTGGACCACAAGGTCAGAGGTTCAAACTCACCAGCCTCTCCTTAGAAACCCTATATGGGGTCATTGTGAGTCCGAACCAACAATAACAACAAACAAGTTTTATCTGGGTTAGAGTGTAGGACTCTTTGTTATTTGAACAGTAACCGTGTGAGAAGGAAAAGGCTGGTGGCTTTCTTTAGAAAGCTAGACATGAAAGTCTTAGTAAAGATGGAGTTTGCAATTAGCTTTGAAGTCAGCCCATTCAGATATGCTAGCAGTACTAAGTTTCCAAGCTCACCACCACAAGTCACAGTGCTTCCGGGTCAGGCTACAGAAGTCTAGAAAGTCATGAAATACAGTATTAAAGAATTTGATCACAGCGTAGGAAGACTTGCAGGGAGACATGCCGTAGACAGCAGTGTCCTCATGCTCACAGTCTAATGAGAAGTTAAACAGCACATGTGGGTCCACAGAATTCCAACACAGGGTGGACTTTCCTCAGCACCGTTGTGTGGTTTCATGGTCTGTTTCCTTGATCCTCTTTTCATGTCCAAGACGGCACCTGAGATGTTCCGGCGGCTTCTGCTGTGGAGGCCTCCCCGCTAGTTGACACAATTCAGTGCAGGATCCTGGTTCCAGGACCAGGTCTGCCCTGGAGGCGCCATGTTGGGCTCACCCAGCAATGTTCTGTGCCTGTGCTGAAAACTTGTTAAAGCTGGCTGAGAAAACTTGTTAAAGTTATTTAACAGCTGAGATAAAAGACTCTTGTGGCTAGGTGCCATCGAGTGGTTCTCACTGGACCTGCACCATCACTGTTCAGCCGGAACCCACTTGGTACGGCACTGTAGGATTAGCGCCTTGACCACAAGGTTGGTTTGAACCGCAAGATCAGCGGGTCAAACCAACCAGCTGCTCTTCTGAAACCCTACACAGGGTCACTATGAGTCAGAACTGAGTCAAAAGCACCTAACAACAAGAAACTCTGTTGTGTTCCAGATGCACAAGGAGATAGTTTGCATACTCTACCCTGCCTGTTCCTAGTATTTGGAGGTTTTATGGTTCTAGTAATTTTCCGCCTAACCCCTTACCCTAACAGCAGAACATTAAAATATTCTAAACTACTGCACTTTGAAAGAGAGCTCCGATGCTCAAGTTTGAGGTAGGGTTTCTGTTGGGGTCCACGTTGACAGGAGATGCTGACCCTGCTAAACTATGGACCACCTTGGGGAAGCACGGAATTAGAAGAGCCCTGGTGGCACTGTAGGATAAGCACTAGACTGCTAACCACAGGTAGACGGTTCAAACCCACCAGCCACTCGGGGTGAAAGATGAGGTTACCTGTTCTTGTAAAGATTTAACGCCCCACACCCCTACACAAAGTCACCGTGAGCCAGAATCCACTCCAAAGTTCCTGTATTACAACCTCAGTTCTAAGCACTAGGTTTGCAGAAGGCCATGGTTTACAGTGAGAGCCCCAACTGCATTTTGAGTCTTGAAATAAATTCATTCTTGAAGTTCTTTCTGTGAGAACTTTGTCTTGTCTTTGTCCTGTTTTGAGACTTAATAAAGGGCTCTCTCTCTAAAACACAATTGACTAGACAAAAGACTGGGGTTCGAACCGACCCAGAGGTACTTGAAGGACAGACCTGGTGAACTGCGTCTGAAAGCTCACAGCCTTGAAGCCTCCTCAATGGAGCAGCTCTCTCAACACAAGGGTCACCAGGAGTGGGAATAAATGCCAACAAGGCGTAAAAACTGTTGAGTCCGTTCTAACAGCTTCTGCCCCATAGGGTTTCCAAGGTTGAAGTCCTTATGGAAGGAGAGTATCACATATTGGTGGGCTCCTGAAAATGTTGTTGTTGTTAACTGCCATTTAGTTTCCACTCTATATGGAGCCCTGGTGCGGTCTGTGGGTTAATGCACTCGACTGCAAAGTCAGTTTGAATCACAAGGTCGGTGGTTCAAGCTCCCCAGCCGCTCCTTGGCAACCCTATACAGGATCACTAAGAGTCAGAACCGACTCGAAGGCACTTAACAACGACAACATAGGGTTACTGAGGAGCGCCTGGCGGGTCTGAGCTGAAGACCTGTGGTTAGCAATCCAGTGCTTGAAAACCCCACCAGTAAGGAATGTTGTTAAGTGCCGCCGAGTCAGTTCCGACTCATAGCGACCCTGTATAGGGTTTCCAGAGAGCTGCTGGTGGGTTTGAACTGTTGTCCTTGCAGTTCAAAACAACTTTGCGGTCCAGTGCTTATCCTACAGGGCCACACCATTTTAAAATCTGAATCCCAATCCACAACATTCAAGAAAGGAGGGGAAGCAACTCTCCCAAAGTCTCACAAGCAGGAAGATTAGAAGGATCTGTGGGACACCTGAGCCCATGGCCTTGTCCCTGGTGACCATGGAAATCTTGATGCTTACACTTTAAGAGGAGCTTTGACAGTACAAGGCACCGTTTCCTGGATCCCGCTTCCTCTACCCCGGCCCAGGAGCAAGGGAAAGGTGCCTAACGTTTGGATTGGATGCTGGACACAAACTACATTACCCAAAAGTCCGTGTCTGACTTATTTGGCCAATGACAGCCCAGAACATGGGCGTTCCTCGCTGGTAGGGGTGGGACTTCTCGCGTCACCGAAGGGAACATCATTTGCCCGCGCCCCACTGTGAGCGCTGGCGTTGGGTTCCGGTTCTGCTTCGGATCGTCGGGACCGAATGTGGGAGAACACTGAGAAGGGTAGGACTTACCTCCACACACTCCTTACGAGCTGTGCCCCACATCCGTGGGACGAGCAGTCTCACGTGGGGGGCGTCCGCCGGGGCCACAAGCTTGCTGGACCTCCGCACCTGCCCTGGGTCCACGGCTCCCCGAATCTGAGGCTTTGACACGGACAAGCGTGTGATCCCAGGCCATGGGTCCGCCCCTCACGACTTCGTTCCATCCACAAGACCTCATGGCGGCGGCGACGCTGACAGACCGGGCTCAGGTGAGTGTTAAGGGCCGTCGAGTCGGTTCCAACCCACAGCGACCCTATACAGGGTTTCCTAGGAGCGGCTGGTGGGTTTGAACTGCCGACTTTGCAGTCCAGCGCACTACCCCGCAGCGCCACAACAGGCTTCACTTTACTTTTCCCTCACCTGGAGTATAAAGTACATGGAGGGCTTCGCTACGGGATAATGGTCTCCATTCCCGACAGTCAGAGGCATGCGGCGTGGAAGGGATGCCAAGGCCGAGGAAAGAAATTGTACAAATACATCCTTAGAGACCAGCGTAAGTTAGGAGCGCCTCTGAAATGCTAGTCTAATTCTGTCTCTTGGTTACAGAGAGCGGGGGACAGGAGTCAGGCCCCCTCTGCAGAATGTTTGGGACACAAAGAAGGTGTTAACAGGTTCCCTGGGAGTGTGCAGAGTGGAAACTTGACTGGGGTGGCAGAGGCGCCGTTGGAAGAGATCAGGATGGAGCCTACTGCACTGGTCCAGGTGAATGTCGATGCTGGACGTTCCAGAGTGGTGATCATATTGATCAGAGAATTGGATGGATTTCCTGATGAAACCCCAGGCCAAGGGTTTCAATGGAAGAAAGATTCCCACTTTTGAAAACTAATGGAATGAAGAGCAAGCGAGTGTATTCGACCCAGGAACAGACATGTGCAAATACTTGGAGACGAGCATGAGTTGAGAATGTTTAAGGGACCACAGGTCTTATGATTGTTTAGACGAGATCCGGGCACTGGATTCAGCAGGAATGGCTGGCTGAGGAGCTGGGCCTTTGCTCTGAGGGTGGTGGAAATCAGGACAGATACACAGCAGAGAAGACAGCCGATCTGACTCAGGTCTTTAGGCAGGAAGCCTCCGTAATAGGTCCCATGAATGCTGGCAATGGTTAGCTAAAGAGAGAACTGTCGTGGCTAGGTACTGTTGTTTGGCTTTGGTGCATAAGGACTGTATGAATAACAAAATCAAACAGTGCCCAGGCCTGCACCACCCTCACGATTTTTACCCATGAGCCCACTGCTGCTGCCACTGTGCCAATCCATCTCATTGAGGGATCTTGCTCTTTTTCCCTGACACTTCACTTTACCAAGTATAACGTCCTCATCCAGCATCTGGTCTCTTCTGTGAACATGTTCTCAGTACGAGAGAGAAAGTCCTCACCATCCTGGCTTTTACGGAGCATTCTGGCTGTACTTATTCTATCATAGACCTGTTTGGTTTTCTGGCAGTCCATGGGACTTCAATATTCTCCTCCAACACCATAACTCATCAGTTCTTCTACAGTCTTCCTTCCTCAGTCATTGTCTAACTTTCACATGCATATGAGGAGGTTGAAAATACCATGGTGTGGATCAGGCGCATCTTAGTCCTCAAACTGACGTTGAACGCTTTAAAGAGATCTTGTGTAGCACATTTGCCTAACGCAAAATGTTATTTGATTTCTTGATTGCTGCTTCCATGAGTTTTGATTGTAAATCCAAGCAGAATGAAGTCTTTGACAACTTCAGTCATGTCTCCGTTTATCGTGATGTTGTTTATCGGTCCAGTGGTGAGGATTTTTGTTTTCTTCACACTGAAGTGCAACCCATACTGAAAGCTGTGGTCTTTGATCTTTAATCTCCGTCAGTAAATATTTTAAATCCTCTTCACTTCCTGCAAACAAGGTTGTATCAGTTGCATATCACAGGTTGTTAACGAGTCTTCCTCCAATCCTAATGCCACGTTTGGCTTCATATAATCCAATTTCTCAGATTATTTGCTCAGAATACCGATTGAATATGCGTGGCAAAAAGATACAACCCTGGCACACAACTTTTCTGATTTTAACCATTCGGTGTCCCCTTTCTGTTGGAAAAGGGGGTCTATGTACAGGTTTCCCATGGGTACAATGAAATGTTTTGGAATACCCATTCTTTGCCAAGGATAAGTATTATCCGTAGCTTAATGATTCATGATCCACACAGCGAAAGCCTTTGCGTAGAGTCAATGAAGCACAAATAAATATCTTTCTGGTATTTTCTGCTCTCATCCAAGATTCATCTGACGGCAGCAAGTATCCCTCATTCCACGTCAGCTTTTTAGTCCAGCGTGAACTCCTGGCAGTTCTCTTCAGCGTACTGTTGCAAATGGTTTTGAATTATCTTCAGCAAAGCTTTACTTGCATCTGATATTAATGATACTGCTCAATGATTTCCACATTTTGTTGGCTCACCTGTCTTTGGAATGGGCACAAACATGGATTTTTTTCCAATTGGTTGGCCAGGTAACTGCCTTCCAAATTTCTTGGCGTAAGTGAGTGAGCGTCTCCGGTGCTTCATCCGTTGGTTGAAAGATTTCAGTTTGTGTCAATTCCCGGGTCTTTGTTTTTCGCCAATGCCCTCAGTGTAACCTGTGCTGCTTCTTCGATACCATGAGTTCTTGATCATGTTCTACCTCCTGGACTGGTGGGATATCGACCAGTTCTTTTTGCTATAGTGACCCTGTGTGCACCTTCCTCTTCTTTTGATGCCGTCTTCACCATTCAAGATTTTGCCCATTGGTATAATTGTTATTAAGTGCCATCAAGTTGGTTCTGACTCTTAGCAACCCTGTATAGGGTTTCCAAGGAGTGGCTGGTGAGTTTGCAACACGGACCTTGTGGTTCAAACCGACCTTGCAGTCCAATGCATTAACCCATAGAATTTTGGTTAATGCATTTTGCCCATAGAATTCTTCAATATTGCAAGTTAAAACTTGGAATTTTTTCCTGCAATTTTTTCAGCTTGAGGAATACTGAACATGTTCTTCCATCTTGGTTTTCTTACTCCTCCCGGTCTTTGCACATTTTCATTATAATATTTTACTTTGTCTTCTCAAGCTGCCCTTTGAAATTTTCTGTTCGGCTCTACTAGTTCCTCAATTCTTCTATTCACTTTAGCGTCTTTATGCTGAAGAGAAGTGTCAGAGTCTCTTCTGACATCCACTGTGGTCTTTTCTTTCATTTCTTTCTACTGACCTTTTGCCTTCTTCCTGTATGATGTTCTTGGTGTCACCCCACAGCTCTTCTGGTCTTCATTCATTAGAGTCTAATGCATCAAATAGAGTCCTGGTGTGGTGCTGTGGGCTAATGCACTGGACTACAAAGTTGGTTTGAACCACAAGGTAGGCAGTTCAAGCTCACCAGTTGCTCCTCGGAAACCCTATACAGAGTTGCTATGAGTCGGAACTGACTTGATGGCCCTTAACACCACCAACAGCAGTGCATCGAGTATGTTCTTGAGATAGTGTCTAAATTCAGGTAGGACATATTCAAGGTCACAGTTTGGCTCTCATGGTGGTGGTTGTGGAGTCAATTGTGACTCACAGTGACCCAGTATAGGGTTTCTGGGCATCACAGCATCATAGTACCACAGAAGTATCCAGAGTACGACAGACTGACAGACATGTGGTAGAGGAGGTGGCTGTGGAAGTGGAAAAAGTGGTTGAGTTTCAGGTCTGACTTTTTACGCAGGGTGGTTGGATTTTCAGAGTTGAAGGCTGAGCAGAAGAAAAGAAGGAGTTAGGGAAGCCCCTGAGATTTCTTGATTTTAGTAGGTAGAGTGATGGGCGTGTCATCATCTGTGCTGAGGGAGGAGTCAATGGTAGGAGTTGCTTTTAGTGGTCGGGTCAGGAGTTAGTTTCAGCCATATTGAGTTTAAGAATTTCCGGATACACCTTAGTTGAAGCATTAAGCAGTACATACAGAGACTGAGTCATGGGAGGGGGTTCAGGTAGGAGAAATCCAACGTCAGCAGCCTGCATGTGGAGTAGAGTGGAACCATGAGTTAAATTCAGAAGGGGTATCAGGTTGGAACTGACTTGATGGCACTTAACAATGTTAGCTGGTCAGGAGTCTCTCAGGTGGTGAGAATGGTTAAGTGCTTGGTTACTAACTAAAGAGCTGGTGGTTCAGACCCATCTGTAGGAGCCTCAAGAATGGGTTCCCAATCTGCTTCTGGAGGTTGATGTTTTGTTGTTCGATGCCATCGAGTTGATCACGACTTACACTGACCGTGTGTGCAGCAGGACAGAAGTTGCCCAGTGCTGACCCATCTTCACGATGGTTGCTGGGTTTGAGCCCGATGGTACAATCACTGTATCAATCCATCTCATTGAGGCGCTCCCTCTTTCCTGCTCACCCTCTAACTTTCCAAGCTTGATGTCCATCTCCATGGCTTTGTCCCTCCTCACAACGTGTCCAAAGTACGAGAAATGAAGTCTCCTTATCCTTGCTTCTAAGAAGCTTTCTGACTACTTTTCCTAGGATTTGTTCATCCTTCTGGAGGTCACGACTCATAGCAACTCTGCAGAGGGTTTCCAAGAAGCAGCTGGTGGGTTTGAACCGCCAGCCTTGAGGTTAGCAGTCTAGTGCTTATCCTACAGTGCCGCACCAGGGCTCCATTGAAAACCCTGTGGAGTACGAGTCTGCTGTGACACTTGGGGTCGCAGTGAGTCAGAACCCAGTCCCCACTGGCTGTGTTTTGAGGTTATGGTGGCAATTTCATAGTGAGCAGGAAGGATGGAGGTAGGACAGGCTTTCTTCCCTCGGCACCTGGGTTGGAGTGGTAGGTGTTACAAAGACATCTAGATGAGCCATCCTGGTGCCTTGTAGTGTGATGTTAGGGGCGCTGGATGGAGAGGGGCATTTGGTGTGGGCTTGGGGTTGATGGTGAGAATCCTGGACGTGAGAAAGGTCCACGCCAGAGACTGACGTGCGTATTGGAAGACGTTTGGATTGACGGCCGTTAGACCCTCGAACTGGATGTTTAAGGGGTCGTGATGGTGCAGTAGTTACGAGCTCTCCACTATGAACTGGAAGAGCAGCACCTCTGTAGGAGACAAGACTTGATCTACTGCTGCTCATGGCGCTGCTGTGGTCCTGGGATGGCGCTGTGGGTTAATGCGCTGGACTGCAAGGCGTGTTTGAACCGCAAGGTCGGTCGGTGGTTCAAGCTCACCAGCCACTCCTGAGAAACCCTGTACAGGGTCGCTGTGAGTCAGAACTGACTCAATGGCACTTACCAACAATAAGCGCTACAAATATTACAGCCCAGGAAACCCTACAAGGCTGTTTCACTCTTGTCATGTGTAGGGTTGCTGTGAATCCGAATTGACTCGATGGCACAAAACAAGAACACTGGGGGCTTATGGGAGATGCCTGAGCTGTCTTTCTGTTGTGTCTGGGAGACACGATCTGGATGCCACCAGGAGACTGGCTGGCGGAGAGCGTTTGGGACCCTGCTTTCTAGAGCTTCGGTGGCGTGGCGTCAACCTGCACCCCTGCCTGGCCCTGCTGTGGGCCAGGCTTTAGTGATCGCCGATAGGAGGAAGCATACAGTAGGGGTGGCCAGGCCTGGTCCCTGCAAGTTGGGAAGCGAGTTAGCAGGAGGTGGATGTGTGCGTGGGTAGACTGGGAATCCTGGGAGAGATGTTACCTGTGGCTTCAATTGTCTCTGTCATCACAGGGCTGTGTGACCTTCGAGGATGTCTTTGTTTACTTCTCCCGGGAGGAGTGGGGGCTCCTTGATGAGCCTCAGAGACTCTTGTACCGTGATGTGATGCTGGACAACTTTGCATTGGCGGCCTCTTTGGGTAAGTTCCTGTTATACTTACCTACTTTTGAGTCGCACATGACTGCAAAATTTCATTGTTATAAACAACAACAACAACCCAGAAACTTCTTCTGTCTCCGTTTCCAGTGGGTCAGGAATCTGGTGACAGCTCACCTGGGTGCTCTCTCAGTGTCTCGTGGAGTTGAAGTCGAGCTGTTGGACAGAGCTGTGGTCCCATCAAGAGACCTGATGAGCTAGGGGCGGATCCACTTAGCTGCTCATGGTCACTTGCAACATTTAGTTCTGTTTTTTGACTCTTGATGTCCTTTTGGACTTTTGCTGGCTGCTGGCCAGAGGCCTCAGTTTCTTGTTGTCTCTGCTTTTCTGTAGTATTCCTTACAACATGGAACGGTGGTTCTCTCTGAGCAAGTCAGCAAGAGAGAGTGTCCAGGGTAAACGCTAGTCTTCTTGTAGCTTAATATCAAAAGTAGCAGTCCACCGTTTTCCTATATTCCATTTCTAGAAATACGGAGTCCTGGTGGTACAGTGGTTCAGTTGTTTACCTGCGAACCGAGATCAGTGGGTTGAATCCAGCAGCCAGTCCGCGGGAGAGCCATGTGGCTGAGGCTGTTCTCCTCTGTTCTGTACGGATGCTCTGAGGCCAGATCTTCTCGATGGCAGTGGGAGGCGTGAAAACGAGCCAGTCCGCCCGACAGCTCAGGGCAGCAGTGCCAGGCGGTGGCAGCCACTGGGTGCCTCTCAGAGGCTGCCTTCCACCAGCCCTTGTCGGCTCACTGCACTAGATGGGGTTAGTCTCCTGTTTCCGGGGCAGACTCCCTGCCTGGCCTGGACCTTGTGTGCAGCGTCCACACCCGCTGCCCCACAGCCTTCCCAGGCAGGGGGGTCGGAGCTCAGGAGGGTTTGGTTTGTTTTTTACTCTTTATTGGGATTTGGGTGAGAGTTTGCCGAGAACGTTGTTTTTCCGTTCAGCAGTTTGTACACGTTTTGTGTGGCGGCTGATTGCAGCCCCCACAGTGGAACACCCTGGGCCCACGTTCTCCTCGGTTGTCCACTCGTCCTTACCTTCCTGCCTTCTGAGCTTTATTCCTGGCCACCTGGTGCTTCCTGGTGACCTCATTTGTTGGGGTTCTTCTCAGGAAAGCTTACCTCCCTGGTGTTACTGTTCACCCTGCAGGCCCGTCTGGTGGGCTGACAGTTGTACTTCAGGGGTGAGGCCAACTCGGGCTCGAAGGGTGACTAAGGCCCATAGTCTTGGAGGCTGCACCGCTCTCTCTAAAGTGCTGGTGAGTTTTGTAAGCCTGGTCTTCATAGGACTCAGAGTCTGAGTCCCCTTTTTCCTCCCACTCTGATGGCGTGGTGGAGGCTGAGGTTTGTGTGGTCCATTTCTCCTTTCCCCTGTTGTTGCCTTGTGTCTTGGACTTCCTGTATTTATTGATTTATGCTCCAGTTGGGAAGAGAATGGTGGTTGTATTTTAGATGGTTGTTCACAAGCTTTGAAGAGCCCGGTTGCTCTCACCAAGGTAGGCTGGAGAGTGTTGTCTTGGTGGACCTTGTTGTGCCAGTTGGCCCTGGTGTCCCCCAGGACTGTGGCCCTCAGGAGCTTTGCAGTCCTCTTAGCAGACCCTTCATGGCAGTGTGGTGCCTTGGGTTTTACCGCCTTCTGCTTGGTGCACCCTCGGAGCCGACGGTACCAGGAATTGCCAGGACTGACGTGGTCCCCGCTGTGGAGGCCTCAGAGCTTTTCCAGCAGATCCTCCGTGGAGGGTTTCTTTTCTTTTTTATGAAATCTTTTCTTTTCTGTGATTTTTTCATTATTGAGAATACACAGTACAACAATCGGCAGTGGCACTGATGAGTCCTTCAGGCATTGCACCGTACTTACCCTCTTGCCTGTAAGGAAATACACTCCCTGCCCTGTAAGCTGCTTTCAGAGTGCTGGTGATTTTAACATCGACTTCTCCTCTCTGGGATTAGTCACCCTGGGCCCGTGCTGGCTACTGATGGTCTTTCCTTGAGGAGGAGGTGAGGGGCCTCTAAGTCGAAGTTCGAGGCCTAGCGACCCCGTGTGACAGACAGAGTAGAACATCCCCACAGGGCTTCCTAATAGACCGTAGTCTTTACAGACCACCAAGTCCT